AAACCCCGGTGGGGTGACGGTCCGAGGGGATTTCCACACGTTAAAAAAAAAAGGGTTTGTTTCAAGTTTTCCTTCTCTTTCCAGTGCTCATTTAAAGTTAAATTTATTCAAAGAGGCGAAGGATGTTAGAGGCAGAAAAAACATGAGGAATCCTAACTGGCAGGTACTTGATATAACTAAAAACCACAAAATTTAGAAAAAAACAATTACTCTTTGTGCAATAAAATTTATATATATACTAGCGGACCCGACAGACGTTGTCCTGTCAAATTTGACACTGCGATGGTAGCGCCGTCTGTCGGATCCAATATAAAACATTCCAAAATCAACAACTACTAATAAATTAAAAATTAATTAAAAAAACATTGTCCAGCGGACAAAATTGTGAATCTAAACCATTCCCAGATCCCCTTGAACACACACAAAAAATTTCATCAAAATCGGTCCAGTCGTTTGAGAGAAGTTCAGTGACATACACACTCACAGAAGAATTATATATATAAAGATAAATAAAAGAGGAAACTGATAGACTGAATCATTGACTGATCGATGAACGCACATTTGCAACCGCTGGGTCTAGAAGCATAAAATTTTCACAAATGATGCTTAGGTGACGTAGGTGTGCCAACTCGTAAGCACACGTCTTCAACACGATAGGAGAGATTCCACCGGGCCCACACGACTTATGAATGTCACGGGAAAAGAGTGCTAAAGAGCGTACTCCTTCCTAAAAGGCCGGCAACGCGTTTGTGACTCCTGAGTTGCAGACGTTATTGGGCGGCGATGGTCATTTTCTGTCAGGTGACCCGTCTGCTCGTCTGTCCCCTCTAACATAAAAAATAAAGTATTTGTAAATGCCGTTGTCCTGCGTAGTTTGGTCCCTTAGTCGGTTCTTACTACACCAACGGGAAGAATAGGGGTGGTGACACTCCATATAGACTATAGTTTGATACAACATTTGTCATGCTTTTGCACGGACGGTAAAAATACCGTTGCCCATCTGATTGAAGAAAAATTTAACCTACCACTCTAAAAGCACTTCTCAAGTATGTTTATACTCTATTTAGATTACTAATTCTATGAAAACTGCAAGATGGCTTAATAATAAGCAATATTTTACATACAGTGTTTTATGTATGCAAGATATCTAGTATGCATGCGGCGGCATATTTACAAAAAATATGAGTTTTTATTCGAAAATCGAAACTTATTTTGAATTCTCCTTGCAGTTTTAATGTATAGTGTTTTAGATTCCATGTTGTACTGTTTAAACCAGATAGGTTGAAGATCCGATTGAAGATTTAATGTTTTTTAATTTCAATCACTTCACTTATATATTTTTATAAACTCTTGAGTAAAAAGGACGTTTGGTCGAGATGACTTGCGTAAGGTAAGACTCAATTTAGTGATTGATTCACACATCAAGTGCACATTCTGTACACTGTTTGACATAGTATCTATTTATTTGACTGTCTCGGTGGCGCAGTGGTAGCGTATGCGGCTGCTGTTCTGAGGTATCGGGTTCGATTCCCGGGTCGAACCAAATATTTGTATGCTCTACAAATAATTGTTTTGGAGTTTGGGTGTTTTCTTTGTAAAATATGTATATATTCACAAAAATAAAAGTATAAAAGTATTCAATTAGTCAATCTAGCTTTCATAGTACAAGCTCTGTTAGTTTGAAACTAGATGGCGTTGTGTTTTTGATGTCTGTAACATTAATAGATGTCTGAAATATTATTGTGTACGACACAAATATATAGTCTTTTATGGTACACACGCCAAATGAAATATCTGGTTAGGTTTACATGTGTGTCATTCCAGTAATTATATTATAATACTTTTACATTTTTGTGAATTGTAAAGAACTCGTTTCTTCTCTCATGGCAATTTTTTTTTACTAAGTACTATTTATATTATTATTGTCTAATACTCCCTTGAAAAGTCAATCCAATGAAAGCGAGTAGGAACTAGTAGCATTAGATAATGCTGACTTAGTATAGTAAGAGTAAAACATAGAATACATCTTGAAATAAAGCTAAACTAAAATATTTTGGAAAAAATATTTATTCTGTCGTATAATATCTACCCACAGTTTATCAAATCTTCACATAACGCACGTGCACGTATCGGTTGCTAAATAGGGGGAACAAGATAGAGGTGGGAGTGTAGGCTCGTTCGTTCTTTCTGCAGAATTCTGTCTTTCTCGTAGACAATTTTTAGCTGGATCAAACGCTCCATACGAGTAGGCAAGTCCAAAAGCACTAGGCAAAATGAAAACTAGGACTTACTAGTGCCAGAGACAGACATTGACCATAAACCTGTAATGCTTCCTTCCCGTAAGATACCATAAACGGGAAGGTTTTATTCCATTCACCGTTTTTAATGCTTAGTGCTATGGCTGCCTTGAATGATTGAGTCAACATAGTTTATAAATCATGATGCTTGATGTCCACCATCTCCTTGATATTTACTGTTTCGATTTATCTGCCCTGTAAATTTACATTATATCTAGAAAAATATAATATTTTCATCCCATAACTTATTGCATGCGAAAGTACATAAATATTGATTTCGTCCTATTTACTTAAAATATCATCAAAACACATTCATTATCACATAACATTAACAGTCCACTGCTTGCCTCTCTTTAGAAAGAAGGTTTTAGCCTACGCTGCCTAGACGGTTTGATATAGAGTTTGCTTCAAGTTTACCTTCTCTTTGCAGTGCTGTTGTCCTGCGTAGTTTGCTCCCTTAGTCGGAACTTACTACACCTACCCAATAAGGGTGACACTCGGTATTCTTAATCCATCCCCACGTTGATAAAAAAACTAGAAAGTTGGTGTGTATGTGTCCATTGGCGGCGCAACTCTAAGGTGACCAGTCGCTTTTTACCATAGAAAAAAATCGTCTTAACTTACTAAATAATACAAGAAATGTATGAAGAATCCTGGCCAGTATTTATTTTAATGAATCTAATAAGATTGAGAAGTGTATCTAATATACAAAAGAAGAGTTAGTAAACATTTCAGTTTAACAGGTTAGTTTTTTAGTTAAACAGAGTAGGTCGCATCAGCAAGGTCACAGCGGCTGAGAATGGAGAGATATAAGCGACACACCTGCGGCCCGTGGTTGGCAGCCTGGCCGCTAGTGCGCCCTAAGAATCGGGTTTGCTGCCACATGAAAATACTCGATCACTGGATATGGTTTTTATAAATAAAACTCTCACCATGGTGTATTGCTATGGCCTTGGCGGTTTTCTGTCTTTATCAAAAACTGTAGCGAAACATGATACGAATGCGGAAAATGTTATTAAAAACATTAACTCTTGCTTATTCATGACATATTACTGTTTCATCCGTGTGACTTTTGAACTGTTTACAGTGTTGTAAAAAAGAGGTTTTATACCATATAGTCATATTGAAACATTTAATACTTTAATATGTATCGGCAGATATAGTGGTGATATATAAATTTATAACCAACTAGCATTAGCACAATTTTTTTCAAACCAAAGTGTGTCACGCTGGTTGAAAAAAATTGATAAAAACCACGTTTGAAGCATGTTGTACTCGTATATCGTGTTAAAATTTGAGCTTAATCGGTACATAATTTTGTAGGTTCTTTGAAGCGTACACAAACCAACAAAACATTTATATATATATATCGGAAGATTAGTTTATAAATTACCCCTATGTTAAAGAACTTGAACCACTTTTCTATTGTCAAGTTCGAATTTTTGTTTTAAAATTTGTTTGTGTTTAATAATTTATTAATGCCATAAACGTCCGAATGCTTTGATTGCGCGATATAAAATCAATGATTGAATGTCGTTTAGCTTTCTTCCTCTAGATGGTGTGTATTGCAATGAGTTTAAAATTAATCCTCCTTACTGAACGTGGTTAAACAATGAAAAACACAGTTAATGTGTTATCTTACGTTGTTACATTTATCGCTTTCCTTTTTCACATTAAATTTGATAATTAACGGGTCATATGAATGACAAAGGCCTTGTGTGATTTCATTTTAGTCAAACAATTGAACAGTCGTAGAGATACGTATAGAGATATTTGGTAACTGTGAGAGCTGTATCCAATGAGTGCCCAACCCGAACACGCTTCTGAAAATAATGTGGCTTATTCTATAAAACCTAGGTTGCAAATATGTAAATTGTAATCAGTGTATTTAAAGACTTATAATAGTGTCTCTTAGGAACTTCCAACTTTCTTCATCTTGATCATGCAGCTTCAAAAATCCCATCATCATCAACAGCCTATAATAGTCCACTGCTGGACATAGGCCTCTTCTTAGAAAGGAGGTTTGGCCTACTATACCACGCTGGGCAGACGGGTTGACATAGGGTTTGTTTCAAGTTTTCCTTCTCTTTGCAGTGCTGTTGTCCTGCGTAGTTTGCTCCCTTAGTCGGCTCTTACGACACCCATGGGATGAATAGGGGTGGTGATTTTCCGTATTCTTAATCCGTCACCACAAGATTGTTTTATAGTATGTAGCAACTCCATTTTTAGTTAGATATCACGTGGATATTACTGACATGATAACTTTTAAGGGTTTTTGCCCATTATGGACAACTTCGTTAATTACAGCCTACCCTTTCATTACTCCGAAATAAACTGATTCTACTTTGTCTTTATATATATGTATACCTATTAAATATAGCTGTGTTAAACATTTATTTGCTTTGTCGAACCTTATTTTATATTGCTTTATGACGCGTACTTGCAATTACATACTTGTACATCTTAATGACCTCATATTCTGACAAGCTTGGAGAAAACTAGCTAACCACGAGTTGAACACCCGAAAATGTATTATTTTTAATCCGACACTCACTTGTGTTGAGGAAAGCTAGAGTGCGCATAATTGTAATATGTCATTAGGACTTGATTACATAAATGAAACAAACATCTTCTATTGTGCTATGTTTTGTAATTTCTTTGTTTGTTAACAAATATTCAGGCGACTATCTGATGACTATGGTTTTAATCTTCACAAGAAGGACATTTAGGTGGAGGTTTTGGTTTCTGTATAGGTGGGCACGGTACAGGAGGGCAGGGTGGATCTTTGACTGCATCTTCAGACTTCTTTTCCCCCCCTATACAACCTTTGGGTGGACCATATTCTAAATAGGAATAGACAATTCCAAAAACGCCAGGAAATAAGAAAGCCATGAGCATAAAATAATCGTTTCTCGGATGTTGATTTTTCGGTTGCACGGACAAACGCCCGTTGATCAAAGACATGAAATGCTTCCTCCCCGTAAGATACCACAAACGGGTAGGTTTTATTCCGTTATTCATTTTTACTCTACTTTTATTTATACTTCCTGCAGAGTGGTTAATTTAGCAGAATTAAAAAAATAAGCGTAGTGTCATCTTTATGTCCATCTTCTGCTTGATATTTTTGGTCAAGGTTTTTTGTCCTGTAATTATAATTACGTATACATATATTTACATATTGGACTCTAATTAATCGCCAATTAATACTTAAACTATTAAAACTCTTAATTTAGAGCATTTAGTAGAAAAAAGAAGAATTTTATTTAAAACACATGACAACTTACCTTTACACTACATGAAAAAATTAAAAACTGTTTAAATATACAGTGTATCTTAATTCCTATCACATATTATTATTAATATGTAGGTTCTCAAGAAGGTACTTTGTCAACCCCGAATAGAAGGAGCAAAATTATATAAAAAAATCTGTTCAGCAGTTTTTCTAGGTTCTAAATTTATATATAAGCACAAAGAAAAGTACCTACATTCAGTAAATACTATGGGATCTTGGTGTAAGAGGATCAATCTACTCTAACTACTATACTGAACTGAATGTCTTTTTCAAAATAATGAATACTTTCTTACCTTGGTATGAAAGCTGCTAAATACCTGGCGGTTTTTTAGATCTATCATAAACTGTAGCGAAACATGTTAGTAAAGCAGAAAGTGTGATTAGTAACTTAAATTCTTGTCTATTCATGCCATCTTTCTATGGTTAAATATTATATTCTCTCTCAATATAAATAATGACTATTTTGAAAGAGAATATAAATTTAATATTTCTTGATCTTGTGTTCGTATAAACTTCACTTATTTATGATCATATTTTTATTTCTTTTTAATATTTGACTTTTGTTTTTTTTTTTTATACGGATACAACAACGAGGTTTTACATAGTAAGGCATTAAACCTCTTTATATTATATATTGTATGTATATTTCTATACAGAATTGGCTCACCGCGTGCGTGGCTTTGGTCTGTTATTACTAAGCTAGGTAATAAACTGATAATGCCTACCTCAGACCTAAGGTGTGTTCCAGAAGTTATGTGATGAAGTGAACCTACTAGATTCAAGAAATTTTATTTTTATAGAATCAGTAGATAGAGTAGCTCGAATTTCTTCGATAAAGCGCAGAACACGTCGCCAAAAAAATGATGTAGATTTACTTTAGGTCTATAACGTAAAAGGTGGAAACTTATGGATAAAGATGTGCACAAAATTTGAAACCCGTATACATATTGCAAAACAAAGTACATAGCAAAAGCGGCGGTAGCCTAGTGGTTAAGGAATTGGACTTGCGATCAAGAGGCCGTGGGTTCGAATCCTGACTAGTAAACTACCGACGTGACCCACTCTTAACACAAGCAATTTAGCTTAGCTGGAGGGGTTAACGGGATTACTGGTAATTTCGGTTGCTAGTAAGCCTTTTTTAAAAACAAAAAATAAAAGTCATTAACCTAAGCCTCAACTAGGTACTTACTATCAGTCGTTTTGGTAATTTACAGCTCATACGAGAGCTAAAGTGTCTATATAATCTTAACTTCACTTTGATTCTAATGTGGCCATGCGTATTTTTAAAATAACATCACCTGTCTTTCTTTGTAGCTGCAATCTATTGTATTTATAGAAAGAGTATATAAAAATGACAATTACGTAAAGACCAGGTAAGAAAAGTACGTATTTTACAACTGCGTGCATCTCCCTGACGGCTCTTTTCAATGTGGTTTTGTGTATGTGTGCGTAGGTCCCTGCGCAGGAGTGTCCTGTGTAGAGGTTAGCTCAAGCGGCCTTCACCAGAGATGTATTGGGACCGTTTCCATTGACCTTATCGACACTACTTAACGATGACTGCTGTGATTGAGTCCAGTCGCTACTAAAAGTAGAATTACTGAAAGATAATTTTAAATATTTTTACGGTCTTTAAAACTTGCATGAATTATAAAAAGTATGAATTACAAATGTTAAGTGTCAAACGTATAATAGCAGAAATAAAAACTGGTATCATTTGAAGGTTATGGTCGTGTTTGTGTTTTAAATACTCATAACGCGTGTATTATGTAGCAATTTGGCGACCATCTATTACTTGTTATGTTTTTAAACTAAACTTTCAAGCTCCGAGGCTCTCCGAGTCCGCACCGTGCCTCCTTGTAGTGGGAGAGCAAAACCTGTAGATACTGTTCGCCTACTTGAAGGCGAAGTACCTGCGGATGCGTCGTCCCTTTCACTCTCGTCGTGGGTCACATAAAAACGAGACCGGCCGTTTCACCTCACCACTCTGGTATGCAAAGATTGATAGCTTATATGACCATTTGCTTTTGAGAGTCCCCCAGAAATCACGCACGGTTAACTTTTCGCCGCCTGGCGTCCTTACGATCGGGCCAGACGTTGTGTTAAACAAAACTTGAAACAAACTCTTATTTCCGAGAAAACTTTTGTAGTTGAAATCGTAATGTTATTACGAAGGTTTATTGATTTAAGACTGTGATGTTTCTCGATTGTTTAAATAAAGCCTGCAAAGCCTTACTCGGGAGAGTCAGACGCCTATGTGTAAACTATTTCTGTGCCTAAATGCGTTTTTCTTTAGTAACTAAAAGTGTTGTCGGTACGAACGGGTCTTAAAGTTGTTGTGAAGTGTTAAGTGTGACTGAAACTTGGTTATACGGATAATGAATTTAGAGAAATGGATCCAATAGCAACGGACAACGTAGTGGTGAATAATTTGAACCATGTCCGGAGTGACTCTCAGGTAAGCCGACCGCTTCTCACAGTAGGTATCGATGAAGCAAAACACGTTTGCTGTTGCATACCTACCTATGAAGTGCAATGACTCCTCATTTACTTCATATATTTTAAACAATATCTGTTATTGTGACTTATTGTTTAATGCAAAGCCTTTAGAAAAGTTTTAGAATGTCACGGTAATGTTTGACGTCTTTATTCTTAATTTCAATATGACAATGAAGTACAAATTAAATATCATTGCTTTCTTTGATTGGAATACCACATCAAAGTAAATTAAAGTTTTTGTAATTATCATTTATAATATTTGTTATTTCATTGACCAACTACACTATCTATGGCTTACAATTTTTTTATGTAATGACATGGGAATAATTCTGACTGTGCTAATATAGTAATATATAATAAACAAAAAGAAGAGAGATTTTATGAACAATGGACCTAATTATATGCTATGTGACCGTGTTATTTGTTGTGCAATCTTTAAACTATTTCGTAGTCACAAACGAGTTTCTAGCTTTAGTTATATAGTTGTATAGTCAGTTTGTTATGCAGTAGCATGCATTTCATATCAAAATAAAAGTGCAGAATTAAGTTGTTATACCCGGTGACTCGTTTGGTTGCCGAAAGCTAATAAATGGAGAATAAAGTTTGTTTACTTGAAAATATCTCGTGGAGACCTGTTTTTTGTTAAGAATTTTGGAATAAATCTATCACTCTGATTCAACTTGTGAATATCTTGGACGTTTGCGAACATAAATTACAACAAGTATTTTGTTTAAGAAATAATTATAAATATTAACGATACGATCTAAAATACGAAACAAAATAGGCACGTGTCCATAATCCCCTTATCTTTGCAGTGCTGTTGTCCTACGTAGTTTGCTCCCTTAGTCGGCTCTTATACGAATAGGGATGGTGACACTCCGTATTCTTAATCCGTCACCACACGGATAATATATAGAAAAACATATTTTATGGGAATAATAAATGCGCTATAATAAATAGAAATACATATGGGAAAATGACAATGGTGCAATTCCGCCAAAGAGTCATGTTTTGGCACAAATTGGCGGGCTCGATCGGAGTGGGACCACGTCGCAGAAAACCGATGTTAAGCAATTCTTTCGTTGGTTATCACCAAGTAAGTGACGGTACTAGATCCCAAAACCTTCCGTTCTCCCATTTCAGGGAACTGTTGTCAATCGGCGGCGGTTGTCATTTTCCACGTCACGATGACCCGACTGCTTGTTTGCCCTTATTTTGGTTAAGGAGAAACTTGTTACTCTTGAGTGATAGGGGTCCATGGATGGTGGTGGTCACTTACCGTCACGTGATCCGTTTGCTCATATGCCCTAAAAAATATTAAAATCTGATTAAAGAAAGAAAGAAATAATTTTCTAAATTACTGTTTAAGATAATATTTAATTATTTAGGGTATATTTAAAAAAAAAACAGTAACTAGTATCATCATTTTGCTGCCCTTATTCCTATCTGTGTCACTCATATATATCTAAGTACTACTGAAATTTATGTAGTACTAGTTTTTGCCCGCGGCTACGCCCACGTGTATGAAAAGTAAAAAGTAGCCTATGTTAATTTTCAAGAATCAAACTATCTTCAAACCAAATTTAATCTAAATCGGTTCAGCGGTTATTGATTGCACATACAAAGTTCTACCCCCCTTTTCTTCCTCTTTAAAGGATAATTTCTGGGATAAAAATCCTATGTCCTTTCCAGGGACCCGGACTATCTCTATACCAAATTTCATCTAAATCGGTTTAGCGGATTAAGCGTGAAGAGCTAACAGACACAGACAAGAATTACAGGTAGTAAGTAATAAACCGGCCGTACAACACAGGGGTGTTTTCATCATCAAAACTCCTTGGGCAAGTTGAAGAGTTTTTAAATTAGGCAAATTGATCGTTGACATCTTGCATAAAATTTCCTTGTCGCTACATTATAATCAGAATATTAAATTGTCCATAATAACTTTCTAATCATTTTTAAGTTATTTAGCATGCACTAAAGTTAAGTAGATGCTTTACATAAGATCCAAAGCTAAATTTATTTCCAGATTTAAATCGTTAGATGCGCCATTAGACCCTTCTTCGACACAGGATATTATCCGCTGTTAGTGGTTACTTTCGTAACACAACTGTCGTAGTAGTACAACTGTAGTGTAGTGCACTGCTTTCTTTGAAGGACTAATGCGATAGAAGTGTCCATCTCTCGTGATGATATACACTTTTTCGCATTAGAGTACATTAAAAAAATGAAC